TTTACCATAGGCAAAACGTAAAAAACCAAAATAAATAGCTTTTTCCAAATACAGTCAGAATCAAGTACTTACTAATACATATACATAAAAACATAATTGATACATTATTTACCGTGGTCAATTGTATTCCACTCGCACAGATCATCAGAGAACAAATGATCACATACAGAAACATAACCGGCGATAGCAAACTGTTCAGAATCTTGGAATACCTGAAAAAATTAACAAAATTATGATAGTTTTTTGTTGCAACATAGCACCTATTATAAGTAAATAAGATCTCACAGCGTTAGCTTAATATGCCGTCGTCCATCCAAAGATAAATTATGACGAAATAAAGGTAGCAGGAAGGCGCTGGATGCAGGCCGCTACCAACCGTGCAATGTGGAAGTCATTGGGGGAGGCCTATGTAATTCAGCAGTGGACTTCTTATGGCTGAAATGATGATAAAAATAACACCTATTGCAAGTAAATTAGATCTCACAGCGTTAGCTTAACATGCCGTCGTCCACCCAAAGATAAATTATGACGAAGAATGTAATATCTATAAAATATTGAAAAAGCTATCACAAGCTCTGATACGCGGAACCAGCGAGCTGAAAGGCAAATCTAGCTCCAACATGCCACGCGAGAATTCTCAGGAGTATTAATCTAAAGGTCCACCAGAGTGAGTGACAACACGGTCTACGGGACTATTCCCACCTCTCGTTCTCACAGCTGCAACTCCTGTGTAGCCAGGATCTACAGCTTGACAGCCAATAAAACCCAACCACTGAAGGTTAAGTTTGTCCCGGCGGAAAGTTAAACTGTCCTTGGACCCGCACAACACGGTCTGTCTTATCTTCTATCGTTCGTTCGTTCGGTTCAGCTAAATGACGTCCACTGCTGGACAAAGGCCTCTCCAAGTGATTTCCATAACGACCGGTCCTAATACTTCCCGCGACCTTCACCAGTCTTCTATAAAAATAAATACATTCTTGCAGCAGATTTCTTGTTTTTTTCCTTCTATAAAAATTCAACTATAGAGTGAAAATTACGTGCTTTTATAAGCAGGTGTTAAAAACTTAACGTAAGCAAAGGATAAAGATTTTTTTGGAAGGATTTTTTTCAAAATTCATTAGAACTTAGTATTTGGTGACTTTACATAATCTTTTGTGATTTGTGATTGTCTATAAAGTTACCAAGGTCTGTTTACGAGCATAATAATAAAACAATGCTAAAACAAGTCTAGACTTGAATTTAAATTTGGAGTTCGTTAAGATTAGTTAAATTTTGTTTTAAGATACAGGTGTAGATAAGACTAACACTAACAAGCTATTTCGTTTATGTGTACTCGCAGTTCGCAGGTCTACGCGAATTTTAATTTAAGTTACACATGCTCGCATCAGTGGAAGCGCACCTTAACATTTTCAGCATGCATGCAATTTCCAAGGTAATAACGCAAAGCTAATATTGAAGTAATTTGCGTGTTCCGTATAATAGTTCGCTTGGTAATTTAGTACGTAAGTATTGTGGTCCCAGGATCTATTCTCTGAAGGCTTCAGTACATAATAAGCTTACAACAATACTTAGTTCTACACAAAAACTAAACTTAAAATGACTTTAATAACTTAAAATTACTTATAACTTTGAAGTACCTACTGAAAGTTTAACTCGTCATTTTGATGAATGCGTATTGAAACCAGCTTCATGCTTTCTGCTCAGTTATTCACCGTGTTTTCGGTATAAAAACAGGCCAAGTGCGAACTCGTAATCCGTAGGCTTCATTTCATTATGCAAGAATAAACACTCTATTACCATTGTTAAGTTGAACGAAAAACGGAAAAAACATCTACTAAGGTCATATTAAACCTACTTAATTTTCATGATTATTACTTATAGAGCCCGCTCTATTCCTATAGAAACCCATTCTGCAATAAATTAGTGACTAAGTCCGAGTTGTATCACCTTAGCTTTAACCGTAACTATAATTTTAACCGGTATTTTTGTATGACGTTTGACAGACTTTATATGTTTGTTATAATAATAGTTACCCTAGGCGCAGACCACTGAGTTTTAGTTGTTCGACAGTTGGGCCCGATTCTAATTTGTATGAAGAATCGGCTGATATCAAATCGGTGTAATATGCGCACTTTCATACATCTCCATACTGATCAACAGCCCGACCCAACTATCGGCCAACCATCTGCGCCTAGGCTAGGACGGTGCAACCCGGGCTATTAAAGGGTCCTAACCCTACCTACTCAGCATGTAACAATACTTCATATGACACCTTCAATCCTTTTTACGCCTCTAAGTGTAAAAGACATGCAAATACATATCTCGGGCTTACAAAAAAGGGAGAATTCACGCAAACCTGAATATTTTATAAGAACAATTTAACTGCGGACTGAGAGGACGGCACGAGGGATTGGGAGGGTCGACTTAAACCTTTCGATGTTAATTTCTGAAATTCATGAAGGCTCTGCCCAAATTGCGGGTCTTTAGGAAGTTTTGGTAGAGGTGTTTTTATCCTTATGTTTTGCAATAGTGGCTAAATAAGTACAGGTGTGTATTTATTACTTTTTAATACTTCTCCATAATTATGGACGAAGAAGATAGCATTAGATCAAACCCGAATTTTCAAAAAATATGGAATAGAAATATCATAAGGATGGAATAGGCCGTCTTGTCGCTAGGAAGTGATATCCTTCAGATTAACCGGAGAGTTGAAGAAAAAAAAATGAAAGCTGTTATAAAATGTGTGTATCGGACCTAGGTACATAAAAAAATAAAAAAGTAGTTTTGATTCCAAAATAATGTCCTTAACATTGTGTAAAGTAAACAAATAAGTACTCGTATAACAGCTGTCTTTATACTTACTTGATCAACATCAGATGGTGGTAATGACATGCCCTAATTTTTTCCATATCATCTTCGTAAGTCATTTCCTTTTCGTCGTCAAACAATCTCGAGCAATTCACACTCAGAAGTTTCATCTGCCCCGCGAAAAACGTTATTAGGACTACAGCATTAGAGTCGTAAGTCGCTACGATGCCGCCCCCGTAGAAACATATCAAAATGTGCTCAAGAACTGTCACCCAATATCCCAAACCGCGGCTTCTATCAAACGGGACCCAAGAGCTCATTATTTCTGGATACGGTTCGTAACCGTCCCTAATACGTTCCCTAGTATCGGGTGACGACAAAAAGCAGACTAACGGAGCTAGTATCACTGTGAAAACTGTCGCAGCTACCAGCGTCCAGTAGAAATTGGTGACGCGCCGAGCGTAATTTGTGTACTCGCTGATAATTTTATCTGTGATTTTGTCCTTTTTGGATAGCTGCCGTTTCTCTAATAACGAAACGTTATCAATGACGTCCTTCCAGTGATCTTGCCAGGTCACAAATGTAAATGCCTTGACCACACAGACAGTACTAAGCATTGTCACTGATAAATTACGTAGAGCGTAGTTCAGGTTATCTCTTATCAACCAAAGCTCTACATATTGGCTTATCACGAAGAGAGTAGCCGCGAAATGTATGAAATTACTTATGTTGGAATTTAAAACTTTATTCGGTTGTCATAACCCCCATTTTTGCAACCCCCATAGCGTCGGGGATAGCAATGGGTGGTTGTCATTTTCTAAACTTAAAAGAAAATTTCGTAACATTATCGAAAACTGGATTAAGATAAAGAAGGGTTTAAAATGACGAACATTCTTGAAGCAGCTAGTTTTTATTATTGCGAAACAAGTTGGTACATACGGATTTGCTCTATTTACAAAAATCTACATATTTTCAGATACGTAATCAAATTATTAAACATTGATAAGCGCATAAATTTAAATATGTGATTGAGTTTCTTCTGCCACTTCTTCTCAGCACCATGTCAATATGTTGTCCCGTTGGTGGTAGGGCAAGCCTTATTTTGAATGTATACGAGAGTCTGTATTTGAGGCCAAGTATCCTGGTATTAGTTCAATAAAGTTTTACCTATTAACCTGAACATTATTTTCAAACAGACAAACTAAAAGCCTTTATAAGAATGAAAGAAAGTCATTATGCAAGGGGTGGACATACGTCAAAATGAAATTGATAGCGTAGCAATTTGTTTGAAAAAGAAAAATCAAACGGCTTATTACGGCATTGTTTTGACAATAAACTAATAAGCACGTCTCAAATGTGAATTACCTATTTGTGCTACTCAAATGTTTTGAGTAAACTATCAGTTGTAATTATTAGTTTGCAATGTTTGTTTTTTAAAAGTGCCGTCATTTGTTTTGTGAATTTCTGTTCCCATGACCCATGAAAAAAAAGTCCTTGGGTTGGTTAGAGTAGCAGCAAATTGGTTTGAGGACCGAGGTACCTGGGTCCTTTCTTATATGGGTCAATTTATTGTTATTGTTCTCACAGGATAAATAAGTATAAATATTATTAAATTCTTCAGAATTTGTTCACAAAAAGATTAATCATTCTCACAAGAGGTCCACTTTTGAACATAGACTTCCCATAATGATTTCCATATTGACCGGTTAGTAGCGGCCTTCATCCAGCCCCTTATCCTGCTTTTGAGGTCATCGGTCCACCTTATGCGTACGGTACGTGGTCACTCCACTTCATAAAAAGATTACAGATAAAATACTCTCTTTCTTAATTTAAATAAAAACGAAGGTTGATCAACAGCACTCAATACACTGAACCATTTAGACACCCACTGGGTTACAATTACTCCCGCACCCCCTACAAACACTTCGCACCCCCCCTGGAACAAGTATGCAAGTCCACTTGTGCGATATTTTTTTTATTGCACTAAAAAATCAAGAAGGAAGTAATACATATTGTCAATTTTTTTCATAATTTTTCTCTTTAAAATGAAGAAATTATGTACGAATATGTAAAATATTGCAACATTAAAATATCTAAATTTCCATAACAAAAACGAAGTAAATATATTTGCACTTAATTGTTTAATAAAGTTCCGTATTAATAATAGNCGACTTGTCCTTAACGGTAATTAAACCCGCGACCCCTGACTTTGTTGATCTAACCACTAGGCTGTAATTATCATGGACGATGGATTTGACATTATACATCGGATGAAAAATTTAAATTAAGTTGTGATTTAAAAGTGCTGCATCGGTCTAAATAAATATGTGTATTTTAATTTTCTTCTTGCATTTGGGCGAACAATGTGAAGAAACTATAAGAGCCTTTTATGATCTGAAACAAAACATATTATTATTATAAAATACAAAAAATAATAATGTTAAAAAGGCGGCGCTGGGGGTGAAGTATTTTTTATTTTGTAAATAGATTTTATCATTACTAATGCTTCATGTTAAAATGTCAAATAGACATTTGACGTTTAAATTTAGGTCCTATCTCTGGAAAATTTGTAAGTCATGTTAAAATATATTTTTAATAAAGTGATTTTTTTGTGCCAAGATTCCGGGACTTCTTAGTTTATATTATGATCAATTTCTTTACAAGACTGTTTGATTTTACCCTTGGGAGCTACTTCTTTATCAATTGAAGTATCGGTAAATGCCTGTCTACTCACGGACATTGCCCGCGGGCGGCGTGACCGGAGGGAGCGGCGAGCGTTCGGCGAACGAACGAGCAATGTTCGGTTTGTGAGCGAACATCTAAGAAGACGATCCTGACATACTCTCTTCAACGACTTTGCACTAAACGGTCTCAATATCATTGTTAATTTATACCGAATAGACAATTAATTGTATACAGTCCACTCTTTCATTTCATTAACTTCCACTACACTCACTATCGAAGTAACAATGCCTGTATAACAAATCATTCGATTTTTTTCATTAGAGATGCCGAAATTCTTTTTTAATCCTTACATTTGGGATTTACCCAAACTTCACTAGATATTTCATGTCAGTATTTTCACGCTTTAGTTTAGACGAACTGCAGTTATAAGAATACAAACAGAGAGAGTTAACTCAAGAAGGATATAGAACAATAATCATCCTGGGTTTTCAGTAAAAAAGTAGGTACTTAAATGGTATTATTTGGTGTAACTTACACTAATAAAAGTAGGCACAGTAAGTCTGGAGAAAGGTCCAGCAGTGTAAAGTATGGGACGGTTGAGTTTCCCCGCCAGAAGCAGTACTTGCTTGCGCATACGCGGGCTGGCCTTCCACCAGTCACTTTCGTATACGCCTTGGTCTACGTCTTTGCTCTGAAAAAAAAAAGCATACTACCAATAATACGATACTCCCAATCTGTTTCAGCCGAAAGACGTCCACTGCTGGACAAAGGTCTCCCCAAGGATTTCCACAAAGACCGGTCCTGCGCCGCTCGCATCCAGGCGCCTCCCGCGACCTTCACCAGATCGTCGGTCCACCTAGTGCCCACAAAGTTCGTTTAATCCGCAATAAGAGGGCTACGCTGGGCTGCCCCTATCATGTGCCCTCACATAGCTACAGTAGCCAATCTTGTTGGTAAACGTGCGCGAACAATGTCGCTCGACACCTTAGGACACCGCTGATGTAGTTGTAAATGATAGGGGTATACTACCAATACATCATCATCACTTTAATCGCACTGCATGATCACGATTGTACTAATAACTAGAGGTATTATAGATATTGGGATGGTACATAATGACATAAGAACCTTTTTACATTTCCCCAACTCAAAAATGTAGGAAATAAGAACACAACCCACAAAAGTTGTAGTCAAAGAAATATAAATTAGAAACTTTAAAAACTTAAAACTCATGTGGAGCAAAAGACATTAATTTTATTGTATTGGACATTAACAGTTTCAGTTTTTTGCGCAGTTAAAAAAGATTTTTAAACTACATATTACGCATTATTAGTAAGTTGTTTTAGTAAGCATGTTATTTGGCCAGTATTACAAGTAAAAGATACATAAAATAAAACACTTCTTGATTGTTTTGATGAAGAAAACCTATGCTGTTGGAATTTCATCCTTTTCACCAAACGGGGTCAAAACGATGGATAAATCTCGACTACTGAACATAATTTTTGATCTTTATTAAATTGAAAAGTATAAAAAGATCTACCTCAACAAAGACTTCATTCCCGTGCCAACAGAATAGAAATAGTTGAGCGATTTGAGCTGAAGTGTACTGAATCACCCAAAGTTTTTGAGCAGCTGTCGCTCCACTCTGAAATATTAAAACACTGGGATATAATTAAAGGACGTATAAAAGAAGAAGAAAGCTGTTCACAGGACTAGTAAAACAAGGATGTAAGAAAAAAGCAGCATTTTTAGCAGGCTATAGTTTATCAAGTGACGAGTCAATTTTAATTTGTAGTTTATGACCAAAACCTTCAAACTATCTAGGTTCAAACTTGGAGAGAAGCAGATGTTATATGGTTTTATAAAATTTTAAGAATAACACACTTACTGAAAAGAACTGAACAACACTGCAGCAAATAGACATCGAACAAATTAAGACATAAATAAACATAACCGGTGATAGAAGTTTATCAAAAACTTCAGATTGCCTGTAATTTGAGAAAAAATAGCTGATGAGCGTAAATAATATGGAACCCCCATTTGGCTCTTAAATGGAAGGCTGGGAGACCGTTAAAGGACTTAACTAATATACTTATCTTACTTAATAATTACAGAATATTGTATGGTTTTCGAAAAGACCTTACTTCACCAAGAACGTATGATGCCTGTGACATTCCATAACCCTCCTAGAAAACTCTTCAGGATCGCCGTTTAGATTTTTAAATAACTTCACACATTTTGCTTTCAGAATTTGCATTTGGCCTTTCATGAAAGTCATTATAGTTATAGCATTGGCATCGGACGCTGCTATGATGCCTGAACCCTGTATTGACATCACTATCTGGATAATGCATGACACCATGTACCCTGGCATTGTCATGTAGTCGAATGGGAACCAGCAGCTCATGATTTGGGGGTATTCCTCCACCCCATCTCTAATATTCTCTCTGTATGTTGAGGTAGTCAGATACTTCAGTAGAGGTGTCACAATCAGAGCCGTATCAGTCATTGTGACGAGTACCCAATATAAATATGTTATAACCCTTGAATACAGCTTGTATTTATTCATCTTAATCATCACTGTCTCATCGTTCTCCTTCATTGATGCCAATTCTTCGTCCGATATATCAGCAGCCAGCTTCTGCCATTGCGGCTGTCGTAATACATAAGACCAGCATTTAGCACAACTTATCACTCCTATAAAGGTCATAGAAAGGTTGTTTAACGCCTTATTAACGTCGTCCAACTGCCGATATAAATCAACGAATTGAGTTAAGACAAACAGTATGGTGGTGCAGTGAATAATGTTGTAAATACAATTTCTTTTTCTCGTGCTATTTGTTTGCCAAATGCCGAATAAGTAAAGGCCTTTTATGTTTGGCCCCAGTAATGGATGCCTCGGGTCCTCAAGTCTCTCTAAAAATGAAATTAACTTTTGTAAAAGCATGATGGAGTTCCAGTGAGTATCGAAGTGGCGATTGGGAATAATTGAAGTGAGAGTCCGCGCCGGTAGAACGTATAAATTGGACGGCGTTGTGCAAAAAGGGTACGTAAAAGGGTTTTCTTGATGATATTAGATTGTGTCATCTTTTTAACACACGTAAAGTTGCAAAATTTCGTCTAATGACAGCCTTAAAGGATAGACGTGCTATAAATGGATAGTCTTAATTATAAATCTCGAATAATAACAAACTTATCCATTATATAAAGATTGTTAAGTAATTAATGTAGGAAATAGGTAGAAGATGTCAGGTAGAAAAAAAATCAAAAGTAAACAAAAAAAAGATATTCGTTTACCTTCCTCCTCTTTCTTAGAATGTCTCGTTGAGCCAACGTCTATACAAAGACTTAATGAACACTTAAAAATGACTCTGCAGAATAAGCTTTGTAACAAAAACTGTTGCAATATTGCATTTTAGTTTCAAATTGAAGAAAATAACCTTCTAACGAGTCTGTCGTTTATTTTCCATGCAAAATGGAAGTTAATTAGCAAACTGTTTCAATGTAAATAGGCTTTTTATATTTCTTTCCACGCCATTTCCAAGTTTTCCAAAGCGAGGTATGGAATTATCAGCTCTAGACATAATTACTTGATTGGCTAGTTACTGAACAGTCTATCCAAGAAAATGGGATTTTAAGTTAAAATCAAACCACGTTTTTTCTACTATTATCGGATTATAATTCGTGTTTAATAAATGTTTTTCAATAATTTTGAACTTCATTTTGATCCGAGTAAAGCTTCCATTTTCGACTTCCACCCAGAGCTCCTTCGGTGTGGATAAAAAAACTGTAACGGTCTTATTCATAATAAAATGCTAATATAGGTTTAAAACCTACATTAGCTAAAACGTTTGATAGGCTTAAAACACTCTTATAAACCTCTGATAAAAAACGTTATTCATAATCGTTTATAAACCTTTGATAGCTAAAACAGAGTTTAATATTTTCTTTCCACAGACTATACAAAAAGAATGAACGAAAACAGCTTTTTTGGTGATTTAACTTGATGGACCATGTNGTAAGTAGATGGCATAATATTAAATATGGAAATGACATTTTTATATGGCTTCTCAGTCATAATGATATTATTAAGTTTTGTAAATTTTTCGTAATATGGTACTACTATATGCTACTACTCTTGTACATTTTTAGTACTAGATACATAATATTTTATGTTTAGTCTGCTCGTACCTCATTTTGTACTATTGGATTACTGTAACATAATTTTGTAGTTTAGATCAAAATTCTCACTCCCATTTTCAGTTTCTGTCTAGCCTTTACAAATCAAATCAGTTTAAATGTAATAACAGACGAAATACACAAAATTCCGAAACAATTTATATTATGTGTCTCACCGAATTCCTCGAAATTGGGTTTTAGGCAAACTTAATAATATTATTAACAGCTCCAGTCTACAGTCAAGTATATAAGACTATAATGTTTATTCCAAAAGAGACTCTATTACCAGTACATAAGATGTCACAGTGTAAAGCTTGACGTGCTATCGTTTATTTAGAAGAACGCGTCACATGCGAGGCGTGAATTAGAGCGGATGAAACCACCCTTTGATAATAATATTAATGTTAAAGAGCGTTTATTCATAAACAAAAGATTTCCTTAGTATTTACCAATTTCCATCAGATCAGGTTAGGCCAAGAGATTCCTCGTTTTGGATAAAAAATACGTTTTAATAAAATAATAATTCGTGTAAGACTTATGGTGAGTATGTAATTTATTAACCTTTTTGGGATTAGACATGTAATGGTTTCCAGTTTTTCATACTTCGTAAAAGATTGTTAGAAGAATCGTATGTTAAAGGTATGAAAATTCTGGGTGTCCCGTGTTATCAAAAGTTCGTTTAAGGCAAATGACGTCCACTGCAAGTCCTCCCTATTGGATGTCGCGACAGTGTATGGTCACACTTTCGAACTATCACTATCACTGGTTAACACAGCTCCAAGACACAGCTAATAAAGCCACGATAGCTGAACGTTGAAGGGGTCTGACTGGCCGACTCGTAATCCGGGGAACGTGGATTCGGTCCCCGCCGCCGCTCGACTATTGTGGTGAGCTCACTCGTGACACAAGCATAATTTAGCTTAGTAGGAGGGGCTAACGGGAGTATTAGGAATTTGTCAAATAACAAATTATGTACTAATAATCTTTTAAAAATGACTTGATAAATCGAAAGGTATGCTTAGGCTGAGTTGCACCACCTTATTTTAACCGTAACATCAACAATAACCGGTGCTTTTTGTATGGAGTTTGACAGATTTTTGACGTTTGTCAAAGTTATAGTAAGATGGTGCAACTCAGCCTATGTATAGTACATTATAGATAGATTTTCGTAGACTTGTTTATTCCTATATTTCGTAGACTTGTTTATTCCTATAAAACAAAATGCGTAGAATGTTAACCCCGCTCGCTCAACCGTAATATCTTATTCAAACTCGTATTTTCCCAATAAAAAAAAGTTTGACTGAAAGAAAAATTACGTTGCAGTATTTTTTCTCAAGCCAAGAAGAGATTATTCTTTCGCCCATTATTCAACATCACCACTCGAGTCCTGGTTCACATGAGTCACATCTGACGTAGTAATATACGACCTTTCCTTGACGTTATTACGAAACCTGATATTGTCTAACCCCATGGTAAAGATCTTGCAAAAAATGGCGCCGTTGTTCAATCATTAAAAAACTCATTTATTTCTGTAAGTAGGGTTTAAAAAAGCACTTTTACATGTCCCAGTATTAACCCTACCACTGCTTCAGGACAATAAATGGGCCAGTGCTGAGAAGAAGCAGCGCAAGAAACTCAGACACTATTCTGGTTAGATATTCTCCTTTTATTTTAAACTGACTTGCCTGCGGCGGACTCGTGTGGACTGCAATCTCTTAGTTTTCTAAATTTTGGACCCTCGTTTCACCCCTTTTTGTCGGCCGATAGTTGGGTCGGGTTGTAATCAGTATGGACATGTATGAAAGTGCGCAAATTACACCGATTTGGTATCGGCCGATTCTTCATACAAATTAAATCGGACTGAACTATCGGCCTACGCTTAAGGGAAGAATTTAGGGTAGTCCTTTCATGAATTTTGATATCTATGCCTTCGTCACAGTACCTAACTGTCTGCGAGCCAAAAAGAGCCGTTTAGTAGTTTGAACTGTAAGTTGACAGATAATCAGCCAGTCTGTAACGGCTTTGAATAACCTTTAAAAACAAAGAAAAGGTTAAAGCTCTGTAAGATACCTTTAAATGCTTGAAAATGCTTTACCTTGCAATAAAAAGGGCGATTGCTTTAGCTCGTACTATTATTCCTAGAATTAATGACAGATTCAATTTTAATAATGCGAAAGATACTTTTGCAGCGTAAAGGTACTTCCACATTGCCAATTATCTTTGTATTTGTAATAACACCTATTCAAAATGTCCAAAAATTCTATGGAATACGACCGGACATAAAGTTGCTGCAAGTCATTGACGAGGGTAGTCTGCAGGTGGCTCTGGCCTCAGCATCAGACCGATCTCAACATAATAGTGCATAATTCGAGCTACGGAAACTGGTTAATGATTAAGTTTGACCTACACAAAAATACACACTGCAAGCTTAATATGAAGCGAGAATAGTCGAAATAGAATTAACGAGATTCTAATTTATACTCGTATGGCAAAAAATACTAATACTTATTATTTCTAAAAAAAGCTTGCAAAAAAGTTTGTCAACGACGCGCCGTCAGAAATATCTTGCAGAATTCCTTTTCGCACTCCAAAAGTGACCTACAAATGTGAATACACCTTTATGTTCAGTGCAGGTCATTCGCCTCCTAATCTATATCTTATCTAGGGAACGACAGGGGTTTACGGCGCGTTTTAATGTTTCACTAAGGCTTAGTTAGATTGTTCAACGTTGAATAAATTTTAAAGAAAGTGGGGTCAATTGCCTAGCTTTGTTACCGTTGACCTTTTAGTATTTTATCCAATTAAGAAAACAGAATTACAACAAATGGAAACTTAACAAAAGACGTTTTAAACGCAATAAATATAACGTGCGACCACATCTTAACGACTATAATCAAGACTGCAAGGATTTTTACGTATTCACAAACATTGTGCGCAACTGTGAGACCTCATAGTATGAGGTCTCACAGTGCGCGTGGACGCACAGGGTCACACACGAACCAATCACAGAGCTCTATTCAACGCTGTGCAAGCATCGTTTGTGAATTCGGGCGTTATTAGTTCATTACACATATTTTATGGTGGCTTATAAGTTGGTTTTTAGGGTTCCGTAGTCCCGACAAGGAACCCTTAGTTTCGTCATGTCTGTCCGTCCGAGGTTTTGCTTGGAAACTATTTTAGCTTTGATCTATTCCTGGTTACCGATGACTTGATTTCACTGGGTTCCTGGTAGATCAGTGACCTTATTAAGAAGTGGTGAAACAAATTACTTTTCTACCAAAGTAAAATTACTAATCACAGTATTATTTCTATTATGAACTCGATTCAATAATTCCCAAAACTTTATCAAGTCAAAGTCAAAGTCAAAATTTCTTTATTTGTTTAGACTAATAAATAGTTCTTACAAATCGTCATTTTGCTCTTAAGGAGCCTCTACATGTCTCATAATCTTTTTACCCTACGAGCGCTTCGAGACCAACATTTGGCAAGTGCTGAAAAGAAGCGCCGCAACAAACTCAGTCACTAGTAACAATCAATGACTTACTCCGTCTCTTAATAATATTTTGTTACGTTACATTACAAAGAAGCTTTTGAGCTGTAACCAATGAAAAGCTCAAGTAGTTTCCGAAGTTAAAGCACTTTAAACTGGGCGGAGTAAAAAGCTCGCAAGATGAAAGCTCAACTTTTTAGCAATTTAAAGTTCCTTTTTGCGGTTACCCTTAATAGTATTTTCTCGTCTCCCATTGTTTGTTGTGATCGTTACTATTTTCTTTTCTATTATTTTCTATTTTTAACCAACTTCAACAAAGGGAGGAGGTTCTCAATGAGGGCTATCGTTTTAGCGCTCACCAGTTTGCGCCACAGTAGAGTAAGGTCCTGTCACTTGCTAGTAGCGAAGACAGTGGCACCAACTGGTGAGCGCTAAAGTGGTAGGAGGACTATCGAATTTGCACT